AGGGTTTGTTCTAGCTCTCCTAGAGCAAACAAAGCAACCTGAAAAGCTCTGCAGATGAACAGACTCCTAGCAATTCAGGGAGATGAATAAATTAAAATAGATGGTGTTGGAACCTATGAATGTTTCATAGTTGGGTAAATTGCTTTTTCAAAAATAAGGGGCGACGAAGGAAAACATTGTGCTGGTGTCTAGAGGACAAAAGAGTGGGTCCAGAATATTTTGTATTTAGCATTCAATGTTCAATGAGATGACAATTGAAAACCTATCTAATAACCAAAAGCTCCATTGTGGGATTACTGTAGTTAGTAGCCAATGCAAGGTGACCAAAGAGCAGGTAAAGGGTAGAATTTTCTGCTTGTAATATTGTTATTAAAATAATATAAGCGCACTGGGGTACAAAAAAATTGAATAGGTAATCTGAAAAAATTTAACTTGACATTTCCATGGTAGTTTTAAAGATAAGGAAGGAAATATATCTTTAATTAATGTCAACAATTTTGCAAAGCCCTGGAAAACAGAAAAAATGTAGAAACATTTTTTTAATATTATCTAATTACTATTACCACAGAAAACAAGCAATTTGTTGATAAATTCAGTATGCACATATGAACCAAGATTCACAATTAAGACTAGCAGATAATTCAGATAATAAGTTTGAAGCCAATAGCATAATAGTACATTATTTTAAGATTTAATGCTGCCCGAGTTATTCAGTTGCTTATATTTTTAAGGATTCAAAAAATAATAAATTTAATTTTTTAATTACAATTATTTAGCAAATAATCAGTCGACTCTTTTCTAATTAACAACTTTTAAGTGCATTTTAGAAACAAAAGTGAGTAATCATTAATCTTGATAATGTGATTTGATTGTACTTTATAATAGGATCTGTTACAAAAATATTTTTATGTGAAGTTGGTATCAATAATAAAAATTTTATAATTACATATGAATCCATGAGTGGATGCATGAAGAAGAAGAAAATAATATTATTGTTTCTTTCCTCTGAAAGTTTCTGAATATTTAGTATAAATTTGCAGATAATTATAGGTAATCCTCAACTTACAGTTACAGTGGAGCCCAAAATTTATGTTGCTATGCAAGACAGTTATTAAGTGAATTTTGCTCCATTGTTTTACCTTTCTTGTCACAGTTAAGTGAATCACTGCTGTTGTTAAATGAGTCACACAGTTGTTAAGTGAATCTGGCTTCTCCATTGACTTTGCTTGTCAGTTGCCAAGCATTTGAATTTTGATCATGTGACCATGGGGATGCTGCAATGGTCGTAGTGTGAAACAGTCGTAAGTCGCTTTTTTCACTGCCATTGTAACTTTGGTCATTAAATGAAGGACTACCTGTATACATTAAATGGGCAATTTTAATAGGACTGCAAATGTTATATTTAATAGTAACATAATAATTTGTAGGGCTTTTTAGCTACATAATCTGCATTTTTATTATTCCTTCAAATTTCAAAAAGGTTACTGGTTTACAGATGAAAGATAATCCAGATAATCCAGGAAACACTTATCCAGTGTGGCAAATCTGTGTTAAACAAGGATGTTTATGTATATAAGTGAAAAGTCTAGTATTGTAAATAACATCATTTCATCAGTAATATATTTATGAAACTAGGGCAGGGGTGTCAAACTCAAGGCTTGCGAGCTGCAGGGTGCTTAGATCTGGTCTGCGGGGCCACCCTGAAAACAGCAAAAGACCGGTCCGCCGTGCCTCTGTCAGCAAAAACAGAGCTCAGCAGGGCCACACATGGCCCTTCCAAGCTACATTTTTGCTGGCGGAGGATTGCAGGAGACTGTCCCAACTGAAAACAGAGATCAGGAGCCCATTTTCACTGGCAGAGCTCTTAGACCATCACAGGAGCCTCCGACACAAGTGATGTCAAGTTGGCCACACCCACCATGGCCACACTCACTCCAGCCTCCCGAGGTCAAACACAGCCTTGATGTGGCCCTCAATGAAATTGAGTTTGACACTCCTGAACTAGAGCTTCAACCTATCTACTTTTTTCTTTCTGAAATACTGCTGTGTCTTTTTAAAAATACTTTTATTTTTCATCATTGTAATTATGTAACACTAGTCCCAGTATATTCTATTATATAATTTATATAATTTAACTGTATCAGAAAATGGTTCAAATATTTCAGTTTTTCTCATTTATCTAAACACTGTAGTCATTATTGCTGAATTATACACTTTTGCTCATGACATAGTTCTATTGGCAGAATACTAGCTGTTAGTAATATATTGTAGATTCTTTCTGGCTTAACAGATGTGATACAAAGAATTTAGTCAATCATTAGAAAATCTTGAAGAAAATATAAATATGAACTTCCTTTTGAATTGAAGTATGCACAGGGCAACATGAATTCTATGCTAAGGACTCAGCATAATCTAGTAATATATGCAATTAATTTTTGAAAACTTAAATGGTAGTCTTGATGGACACTGCGTGATTAATTGAGCCAAGTTGGTCTGATTAGCTTTTTCTTCTTGTCCCCTAGCTGTATCTTAGTCAATTCTCTCCTATTTACTTAGAATATAAAACTTTATTCTCCCTCATATAATCACATATAATGTGATAGTAAGTAAATAGGAAACACCATAATGAAAAGCATTTGATTTTTTTCTACTAAATATATATTAGAAATTTAAAGTAACATTTTTACATGTTACAGCAGCCTTTGCCAAATAGGCACCTTCCAGTGGTATTAGACTTCAGATGCTATAATGCAATTGGAGTCCAACATATCTAGGTCCCAGATTAAAGACACGTTGAAGTGTATGCAGATACTTTGTCAGTGTTTGGTCTTATAACTGATCATTATGTCTACATATAATTTTTCAGCAAATTATACCCTTTTAGTTTTGTCTAGACCAACTTGTGGTAATAGATTTAACATTTTTCAGAAGCTAATACGTTGGAACAGTTTCTTTTAATATTTTATTACATTAAATATTTGTGGATGTTTGCACGTGAAGCCAGTGCTTTTCATGAGAGTCCATAAATACAGCAATTTATAGTTGTTTAATAGTCAATTATAGTGTTATAAGCATTAAATGTCTTACATCATATCTTTTGTTGCATTAGATATACTGTACATACTTGGTTTTTGGTGGGTTTTTTATTACAGACAAATTATACTTTTTTCTCTGATAAACAGGTTTTGTAGATTTCTGTAATTTAAAACATATATGAATACAGATAATGATAGCCTTCTGCAGATGTTAATAATCCACAAAGAATGCATATAGTGATAGTGGCAGGCTCTGCCTTTGGGTTTTGTTTACTATAGTGTACTGTGTAGAGAGCCACTGTATGTAAGTAATATATAAAAATCATATATTTATTGCATAGACCCATTTTGAGACAGCTCCCATATTGCTTGGCCCATACAAATACTGAATGTATCTCCATTAATGTTGAACAAGACTAATCCAACAAAAGAAATAAGATTCCCAAAATGTTTTTAAAAGTCCTTGATGTCTTTACTATTGTATTGTACTTGATATACTGAAAGTAGTAATTTCGTTACTTTCAACATCAATTTCCTACTTCATCAGCATTCAAAGTAAACAAAAGATACATGGATGAATTTCTTTTGAACTTCCAATTGGGGTGTGGGGGGGAGGTTCAGTATTTTTATCATAGAAATTATGCTAGTGCTGTGTTTTAATTTGACTTGATCGGAGTTTAGAACATGAAGGATTACAAATATGCTGTCTTCTTAAAAGACATTTTTGCCAGTTTCCAGGTTCACATAGTGGCAGCAAAAGTTTCCTGGCAGCAGCCATAGGATCTCCCCAAAATATGCAGTTGCTTTCCTCAGTCACAAACAAATGATGTATTAATGCTGCACTATTTTCTGGAGCAGTCCTGCAAACCACATTGAAAAATTTATATATTTCTAGTACAATTTCAATTTGCTTGTTTCAGGGTAGAATATACTGAAAAAAATAAATGTGCTACTTTAGTTCCATTTTTAGAAATCATTTTATTGACTTTCTGCCTTAGATCCAGATCCAGACTCAGAAGATTTTTTTAATCAACTTCCTCTTTCCCCTTATTTTGTTTCTGATAGTCTCCAAAATTTTTGTTTCAGATATGAAGGGGGGAATATTTTGGGGGAATTGGTGAAGATTGTGTCTCTTCTTTTCATTAGACTAGTTAATTATTATAGTACAACTCCTCGGAAGTCTGGATTTTAGCCATTGTATTTAATATATCTTCAGTTGATAATTGTTGACTGTTTTTTAACAAATTTTGGACAGACTGAGCAGTGGTTAGATTCTGTTGGCCTTATTTAAATGGCCTGAGAGCATAACATAAAATTAGTGGAGGAGCTTGTTGGTGTCCCTTTGCTGATATTAGTAGATCTGGATTGCTGTTCTTTATCCACTTATGAAACAGTAATAGAAAACATCTTCATCTGATCCTCTGTATAAGAATTAGTTACAGTGAACACATTTACAGTATATAGCTTGCTGGAAAAGTTACAATTTCACCAGATGAAGTAGAGTATTCAGTCCTGGGCACTATACTTAGGAAAGATATTTTCTTAAGAGCAAATAGCAATAGCAATAGCAATAGCAATAGCAGTAGACTTATATACCGCTTCATAGGCCTTTCAGGCCTCTCTAAGCGGTTTACAGAGAGTC